ACTCGACACCCTAAACCCCTTCACGCAATCATGTGGTCACGAAATTCACCGAGATCGGGGATTCACCCTCAACAAGAGTTGTGAAAGTCAAACTTAGTAACAGGTTGTTTTTCCTGTTGTAACTGTCTGAAAAACTGCGTCGCCTGGCAAAGTTAAACAACTATACCCTTGATCTACTTCACAATTATTTTTTTTGTGCAAGTGTGGTCCACCAGCTTTGCAACTTGAAACTTTACCAACGAACCAGCCGCCGCAGTTGCACCACAAATGCTTCAAACATTATCGCAAAATCCACTAGTTCCGGTCATCTCAATTTAGAGTTGAAAGATAGAGTTGAAAGGATAATTCATATAACTGTAACCTCATTTTCCATAATTAAACTTTGTTGAAATGTTTCCTAGTTGAAAGGTTATGATCAGTGTTCTTGCAAGATCATAGCTAAAATCTGTTTTAATGGCTTTCGTCATCATCGTTCCTAGCAGTGTCTGGTGGCACACTGGGCGTTAAGCAGTGACCATCACCTCCGCCCCCCTGCTCCCCTCCCCTAGAACAACACGAGGGCATATGCACACGCTGTATTTTCCGGGGGTAGTTGATAGTTGATCTTACTCGAAGGAATCGTTTCTCTGCTAGCAAATTAACAGTTCTCGTATTTTAACCCAGTGTCCGTTGTTTAGTTTTGCTCGAAATATATCATGTAGTTTTTGGTCTTACTGCAAAACACTTTAGTGTGGCAAATCATAAATCCGAGATAAAAGAAACCTCAAAAATCTGTGGCATAGTCTGGAAAGTCAGACAAATGCACATGCCAAACTAAAGAGAGGGATTCAATTCTTGTGCATAGATTCGTGACCACAAGATAAGCTTTTCAATGAATTTTTACAATTAAATATTGGAAAACTCACCTTTTCTGTATCCCTGGCTACCAATGAGTTAGATTGTCGAACTAGCTCAGAACTCACGAGACGTACAAACAGCCAAAAGTTGCTTATAAAACGTCTGGTGTTTGACTGGAGAATACTAAAAGGTTGGTATTCAATTACGTCTCGTGTCCATATGATGCGATTACAGTACGAGGGTCTAGGATATCGGAAGTTGATAAGCAGTAAACAGACGACTAATCAGGCGACAAGGAAAAATAGAAACTAGATACAAAAACACAGTTGAATATACAGATTATCGATTAGAATATGCATACGTCAAATGCTCCTTTTTTGTAAAACAAACGTTTTAGGCAGCTGCTGTTTACTACTTATTATCTAACGTATTTCGCAGATTTAGGTCTCAAAGAGATCTGGCACCTCTCATCGCAATGCCACTGTGGTTTTGCATTTCTCAGGGTATTTGAATGTAAAATGATAGTAAGTAATCAAATCAAAAAATTGATACAAAAATTCTAAAAAGTGCTAAAATACGTAAAATATAACATATTTGCACGCAAAGAATCATGTAAAATGTTTGGCACGAATTGAGTCTTTCTGTTTATTTAACACAGGGCTCAATTCCTTAATAAAAAGCATTTCAAAAACTAAACAATGAAACTTCGATCTGAATTTCTTCAAGATAGAAAATTGTTTGTCCTCTAAAGCAGACTTAGTTAGCCCATGCTCATCTATGTACCTGCTGATTGCTGAGTATTTGTGTTCGCTAATGCGTTGATGTAAATGTTGGGTTGTGTACCCGACATAATCTGCGTCGCACAGATTACATTGAAATTTGTAAACAGCAATAAGGGGGCTTCTTCTATTTCGGAGTGAGCACTTGGCCAATCTTCATCATGCTCTGGAAGACAGGTTTAATGTGGACACCAATGTGGGCGCTCAGATTCTGCATTTTTCGTTTGACTGAATTAGCCGATTGCTGATCTTTAAATGGCAGTGGAATCATGATAGAAGGGGTATCGTCACTATCAAAATTTAAGGAATCTTTAAAAAGCGATCTTGTTAAAGATTATTAGTTACATGATTAGTTCAGTATATGTATTCACATTATTTTAGATTGCAGTTGTGTCATTTGTTTCACTTAGTCTTTCGCTAAATTGTGTCACCGTTCTAAGCCGCATTAGATGTTCTTTTATAGCTTACATAATATCCATACAATGTTATTATGTTTTATTAGATTTCAAAGCTATAAAATTGTGTGCTTCTCTTATATTAAAATCTTATACTCATATATAAATTTCATTATTTTGGACTTCCCTGATAGCGTAGTAATGGCTTTTTTTCCCTTCTTTTCCTTTCTTTTGATGTATGCATTTGTGCTATCTTACTGACCTATAATTTATTTCCATTTAACGCTGATGTCAATTGGCTGCCTGCCTAAAATAAGGAAGAGTTTTTATATCAAACAGTTAAAACTGTTTCATATAAAAACTCTTCCTTATTTTAAGTTGAGAAAAAATATTGGTATGATCTAGAATTTCAGTTAAAACTAGAAACATCACACTTATCTCGACAATTCCCCCAACATTAAGACGTTTAAAAACATGGGAATTCTTGTCCTGAAAAAGATGCCCATTAACACGTGTGTTAAAATGCCTATTGGTTTCACCAATACAACGAACTCCACAACTCGCACAAGTAAATTGATAAACAACACGTGATTTAAGAGTATCGGGAACAACATCTTTAGGACTAAACATATCTTTAAGTTTGAATGGAGAGAAAATAATTTTTACGTTTAAGTCTTTGCAATACTTTTTAATAATTATTAATAGATGAAAATTTTCTTCCCCTGTAAGAAGAATAATAACCGATATAAGGTAACTTATAGAAAGGGCAGCTGAATGTATCAGATTTAGAAGTCTCCTTTTCTGTTGTTCTGACCCTACTAAGATAAACTTTAACTGATTTATCAATAAGCCACTTAGGAAACATATTGCGTTTCAAAATATAACAAAGATTTTTTATGTCATTGTGAAAACCCTGAGAAGTGCTATTTATTTCGTAGGCCAGGTCTATGAGAGTTTTGATCAACACTAATTGAAATTTACATGTAAAGGGAGTAAAGCTAAAATAATTGGTTAGTAACCTGTTGTAAGTCTTTTTACGATAAAAAGAAGTGATATTTACACAAGCCTTGATGATCATAAGCACTCTGCATAGATAACAATACATCTAAAACTGGCAACTGACCCTTTTCCTCTGTTCCATAGTAAACTTAGCTGTTAGGATGGCAGGTATTGAGATTTTGAAAAAAACAAACAAACAAACAAACAAACAAACTAGCATCATTAGTTTTTGAAACAACAAATAATATCGTCTACATACTAACTATCTGTAGTACCTTGGGACCAGTGTAGTTCTTTAGTCAAAGCTTTTCATAATGACCCATGAAATAAACGGCACGCAATGCATGCAGAAGCGATGACGTTTAAAAATTGTTCCTAGAAGATTGGAA